AGCTCGGTTGTTCCTTCTTTTCTTTCCTGTGTTCCGTCTTCGCAGCTTCCGCTTCCTCCCCAGCTCCGTCAGGCTTGCCTCGGCGAAGGAAACACGTGTTGTCCGAACGAAATTGAGGTGCAGCCAGTTGGTAACGCGACGCTACACGCCGGGGTTTCTCGGTTGACTGCCCGTGAGCACTGGTCGTTCCACGGAAGGGCCATTTTTCAGAAATCTCCTCGGTCGCCTCTCTGTTCCGTGACGGCTTGCTCAAAGAAAATTGAGATTCAGCGGCTAATTGAATTAAAAGTTAAATTACGAGAGACGACGTCTCGCGCGCTTCTCGTGCGAACACTACTGCTAAATGATAAAGCGAGTCTGCCTTTTCGAAAGGTAGGTACACAAGAGACACCTAGCCGTGTTCTCCGCACCGATCCACGAAAGTTCCACGGGCGATTTGATCGCGGGGATTAACAGGGACAAAAATGCTGACTTGTCCTTAACCGTTGGAATCAAGGGGATCCATCGAGACGGGGGAGAAACGAGTTGGTCCAATCGGACGGTTTTCCGCAAAGCCATCGGTCTTAGTTACGGAGGCAATTGAAGCGGTTCTCGGCGAAACCGCTGGTCGAACCGTTTTTTCGCGCAGTTTTCGGAGATGGGCTCGTTTATTAGTCATGGTTTAACCGCGGGTCGAAGACCGTGGCCCGCTACCTGCGTGCTTGCGTAAAAACGCGAGCTGCGGAGAATAGGTGGAAGAGAGCGAGTGGTAGCTGCAGGGGGGCCGTTAAAAAATAATGGGCTATGGTCGTTGCTGGCGGTGCCGTCACCCTGGCACGTGCGAAACTTTAATGACTTTCGCTCGACGTAACGTCCGCTCTCGTCCCTCGCCCGTTTTCCTTAACCCTCCATGTGTAAACTGGGGCCTCGTGCGGCGGGTCCACTCGTGTGGCGAACCGCCACCGGAGATAATCCACTTCTCGGCTGCGGGAACGCTAGATGTGCCCAATCCCCTCTACGTACCCTTCTGCTCTGACTTCGCAGACGATCGAATCGGAAGATAGCCGACTGGGGACTACTCCTCTCTTTATTAATTCACCGCGCGTTCGTCTTATCTTCTCGACCACTACCCGCTACTTCCTTGTAAATGCCACGCGAGGATACGTTCGCCTCGCGCGTACCAAAATATTTTCACTCGACTCGCCTTTCTCTATTCTAAACCATGAAAATTCGTGGGCGACGTGACGAAACCTTTCTCGTTTCGAAATGCAACCGTATCGGCGGGGAAAGTCACGTTTCGGTTACCGCGATAAGAATAATAGCGATAAAAAGGAAGTACCGTTTCCCCACGTTTATCTTTTGTATTTTCTCGATATCTGCCGCTTCATTCGAGCGAAGAGTAAAGTAAACTAATATACATCAAAGCGGAGGTTATTGCGGCACGTTTGTTCATCGAGCCTAGACTCGAACCTAGAGGAAGGAGTTGCCGGATGAAGGATCCGCTAAGAGGTAGCGGAGAATGATCGACGCGGTGCTCGGCCTGGGGCTCGTGCATTTAATTGCTATTCCCTGGCTGCTCCATCTTTCCGCGTTAATCGCGCGGCGGAGGCGGTGACGGCGGCAGCGGCCTGGCACGACTCTGCGCATCTTTCGCTCCGTGTTCCTCCAATTCCCCTCCGGATGGGCCCCGGCGCGGTTCTCGCCGAGCGGAGAGAAAGAGGAGAGTGGCGGAACGATCTCGCAAAGTTCGATCGACCAAGTTTGACGGGCGAGCCGTAACTTTGGACGCGTTCAATATTTCCGAATAGCCCGGCGCCGGCTTTTCACGGCACAGCCCTCGTTCCTCGCCTCGGCAAACTTATACGCGTGATTTGTGACCTCTGACCCTGCCGGACCAGATAAATTCACTTGGGTCAATTTTTTAACGGAACAATCGATCCGACCCGAGATTTCAGACGGACCGGCGGTGTTTTTTAATAATTCACGCTCAATGGACAATAAAAATGAGAGGTCTTGCGCAATAAACGTAAGAGGCGTCTATGCGCATTGTATCGGTGAATTGCAACGAGCTAAAGCAGCACAGGGGACAGTTCCCTCCATCCAATCCCCTCTAAGAAATCTCAGAGCCCTCGCTCGTTCTTCGTCACGCGACGGACTTCCAGATCTAATCTACTCAGCCAATAACGGCAATGTGTGCGAGCAGAGGTGTCGCTGTTACGCTACAGCCATTTAGATTGGCGATTGAGCGGATGATTGCCCTGTCCACTGTGCTGTTTTAACTTGTACGTAGGTAGCGTGCCGATGTCTCATCTCCGCATAGTACATCCTCCATTGAGAAGAACTGGTAATTCTCTACCAGGACTAAGTGAACTTTATTACCCTCAGGCACAGTCGCACAGTTCCTCCTCGTTAGTTGGCAATCGTGGAGTATATCGGTAGAGGCGACCCACTGCTTCGCGACGGGCTGAAAGTACGCGAGTTTGCGCGGGGGTGAGAAAGGCGGGAGATGCAATTAACGTTAGAAATTGAAGTGCCGAAATGAAAGTGGACAGGAAGAGGCGTGGACGCGGCGCGCCGGTCCGAGAAACGCGCTTAGCAGCTCCGTCGAAAGGTCGCTCGTTAAAAAATGCAATTACGATTGTCGCAGCAGCGGCTTGCGGAATCCGAGATCGCGTTCTCGCCGTTCCGGAGGGGAATTGCGCGAAAGCCGATATCGCCTCGGTGGCTTGCGATTTGTATCGGTTTTCACGGATACGGCTCCTGGGGCTCCGTTGTCAGACGAAACTCGACGTCCACCGCAAAATGTGTCTGACGTCCGTTGTGTCTGGAAAGGACGTCGGCGATGGCAAGATGGGAAGAATGGTAGATGTACCATTTCGCGTAAGTGATTTAAACTATCGTCCCTAGACGATGCTCCGTCCGCGTTCGAGCCGAGTTTTTCCATATTCTACACGTGCAGATACCACGGTAGAATTCTCAAGGTGGAAATTAGAACGGGCAGCGTAATGGAATCTTTGCCTCCTCTCGCCGATGGTCGCCGCGCTAGATTGCAATCGAGCGGCTAATTTTGGAAAGCGATAACAGAGCGAATCTGGAGCCGATGGGAGTTACAAGCTGCCCCGTTTAATTTCGAAGCCAATCAGCGAAAGAGACCGCGCGTTCTCCCTTCGACAACTTCCTCGACGTAATCCTCGACGGGTCGAAATTTCGGTGAAACGTAAATTCACGGATCTTGTCTCTCGATACGATCAGAAAAGGTACACGAATCGAAAGTGGTGGAAAAAACAAGCGATTTGGCTGAGCGACGCGAAAACCAGTCAGAAGCAGATTCCGTAAATATCGCTGTAACATTTTCCACGCGGAAAAGGTTTAATAATTCGACCCCCTAGCCCCGAGCGATCCCGTTCCGATTTTCTATCTGTCTCCCTCCCCCCGCAACCCCGGTCCTCCCTAGGTCCGATTCTCTCGGGCTTTCCCGTCCGACGAGGACGAATGTAACAGGGACCAACGTGACGTTAATTCGTTTCTACTGCAAGACGTATGATTCTCCGATAATGGTCCGCTTCGCCGGTATTCCGCGGCTATCAGCGACCCAAATTGCATACGCGAGACAGGATGCTCGAATCATCGATATTGATTGGTGTCGAAGGACCGCGTTAATTGCACTTCAGACGTTACCTAGCCGGCGAACGACGGATAATCGGTTCCGTGAATTTCGGGCCTGGTTGCATAAGTTGCTTATTGTCCGTGGATGAAATATCGCTCGGTTGCAGTTCGAAATGGTCGATGAATTTTAATGGAACTCTCCTAGGTCGTTGGGTATTTCTTCCGTCGGCTGTACGTCGTCGTTTCCGAAGGCGAATCTTTGACGGGGAAGGAGAAAATAAAAATAACGGCTGAAAAGCTTCAAAGGTATTCGGTTGAAAGCGGATAGCTGGTCGGGAGAAGCCGCGAGAATACTCAACGGCCGTCCCTCGCTCCATTCTTCTACTTGAAACAGATATTTGAGTAGAACCGTGAAAATTGCGGAAGTGGATGAATGGAGGGTAGACTCTGGACGTTGATCGGAATTACGTTAATTACTTTACCGAACGTCTTCTCGCAAAGACGGGCTTGAATGGCCGCGGCGGAGGGCGCGGTTCCTCCATAATGGCCCCCCCTTCACCGTAGCATCCGTTCATTGTTACCGTCGACGCTATTGCGTGGCTTATCTCTCGACCTAAATTGCATCCACCGGATACGAAGGACCGGTCACTGACGTTGACTGACGTTGAAACGCGGAAACACCCTCTCCCGATAATTATGCCTAGCCTAGCTAGCGCCGGTTACAATTTTCGCCAAATTCCCCATCGATGTGCGTCGATGTGCGTCGATGTGCGTCGATGTCGCGGAATTTGCCGCGACGCTTTCGCAATTTCTCCCTCTTGGACGTTCTCTTCCTGTCCTTCGGCAAAGCGCGACGGGAAGAAAGGGGTAACCGTTGCATCGACGGCGGTGGCACGAGTGCGCCGCCTCGGTGATTAAGACCTCCGACGATACGCGATAACGAGGCTCACGAATTTCGGCGGAAATTTCCGAGGAATTCGTCCGCTGGAGCTCTCGAGCTCCCGTCGTTTTCCGAGAGGATCGCGGGGGAGGAGTTTCCCGACTGGCGGAATTACCGATCGATCGCTCGAGGGCGAGAAAGAGAGAGAGAGAGAGTGAATGGGGCGAGATGAAACGAAGGGTGGGAAGGGGGCGCCATTGAAACTAATAGATAGGTAATTAGCGGATAATGCAGTAGCTTTCTGTCGGGTGAAAAAAATGCTCGATCGTCGGGGTATATCCGTTAATGATCGATCAAAGCTTTGTTCTTCGGGCGCTGCGGTCAAAAGGAACTTATTGCGCTTATTAAGTGGACTACACGCTACCGGAATTCCTGTAACTCCGACCGGCTAATTAAGCGAATAAGATAATTCTCGTTTTGAAAGGATCGAAGGAAAAAACGAACCAACCGGCGCTTCTCTGCTTTTATTTTCCAGGTGCGGAAGATGTGTTCAGGTTTACAGGGAACGAGACGCACACAGACTACTTTCGGCTGGTGCTCCGGGACGGGAACTATCTTCTGGTCGGCGGAAGGTAAATAGAGGATTCATTTGGAGCGAGTGCTTTAATTAAAGGATCGCTTCTTCTTCCCTCCTTCTTTCCAGCTACCGGTTCGAGAGGGCCCGCAGCGCCGCGTTCCACGCGCTCGGGCCCACTCGATCCTCTACGTGTGCGGATTATTTTCTCACGGAGGAACCTCCTTTCCACGGATTTTCCCTTCGAGCATCTCCTCCTCCTCCTTCCTCTTTCCTTGCCGACGATGAATTCCGAGAGCGGCCACGGAACACTGTTCTTCCCTGTTAATGAGATCGTCAAACTTTATTTAGAAACTTCCTTGTACGCTTTACTCGCGAGCCTTGGAATCCATCAAGCGGCTTTGCACCACGACTTTCCGTCCAATCTTTAAAAAGACTTCTCCTTCCTCTTAACAGAGGAGGAAGATGTAAGCCGTAATTAAAACGCGATATATGTACATCGCGGAATCTGGAGCACGACACTACCACTCGCTTTAGTTTCCCTTTTTTCCTCCCTTTCCCGTCGAACCGCCACCTTCTCGAACAGAGATCGTTCGTTCGACTCCGCTTTATCGATTGCTATCTTTCCTCTTCGTTCGTTCGTTCGTTTAAGAGAAAGAACGAGAGTGGAGAAATCGGTAGTCGGAGGATGGTTGCGACAATTAGGTTACTCGCGTGAGCGAACGCGAGCCGATCGCGTCGTGAACGGTTTCTCGTCGTCGGCGGAATTACGCTAATTGCTCGATTGATTTGCCGGTTCGTCGGATTCGCTTTTTCCCCCCTTAGATTTCGGATTGTTTCGCTGGAAATCGCTGGCCCTCGGAAACGCGAGACGCGACAAGAGGGCGGAGGTAGACCTCTCGGAATATTAATCTCGAGCCGTGCGCCATAAATCTTGGCCCGTTTGTAATAAACGGGATCCTCCGTGCTGACTTCTCCGCGTGGCCTCGTGCTTTCTATCCACGTTTTTTCCGCCGTAGATTTCCACGCGATAGATTCGGCCGACTGCATTTCCCTGGCGAATCGAAAGGATTCGTCGCGCGATAAGCGGACAAAGTAAAAGGATTGGGTGCAGCGTTCGGTGATTAATGCGGGATCGGAAAAGTGTCCTCGGTGGAAAGAAAATGTTCCAGAGCCTGCAAATAACAGGATACTCGTGGAAAAAGGATACGTTCGGGGAGATTCAGGGTCTCGAGGGTTTGTTCGAAATTCTCAGGTGTCTTCCATTTCCCCGTAATTTCTCCGCTGAATCGTTACCTCCCTGGCAAAAGTTCTACCGCGCATGTACAGAGAGGCTTTCAGCCTTTCGCGTCTTTTCGAAAGTGTGGCGAAAGGACGAAGATACAAAGAGAAATGGAACCGGTTGCATGATTACTAAACCGGGGCTCGATTGCGAGCTCTCGTCCCTCTTGTTGAATAGGCGAGGGAGCGATCGTCGAAAGGTTCAATAGGCGAAACCCTCCATTCTTCCTCTTTCAGGAATCTCGTGCACAATCTGAGCTTAACCGACCTGACCGAGCAGCAGAGGCTGACTTGGTACTCGACCGACAGTGACGTGAAGATGTGCCTGGTGAAGGGCACGCCGGAGGAGAACTGTCAGAACTACATTCGCATCCTGGTGAAGACGGACACGAACACGCTGCTGGTGTGCGCGACGAACGCGTTCAAGCCGATGTGTCGGGACTACGGGGTTCATCCCGGGAATTACACGATTCTGAAGGAGAAAGGGGGCCAGGCGAAGTGCCCGTACGACCCCAGGCACAACAGCACTTTCGTCTACGTCGACGGGGAGCTATATACCGGCACCGTGGCCGATTTCGCGGGAATGGACCCGATCATCTACAGGGAGCCGCTGCAGACCGAGCAGTACGACTCGAAGAGTTTGAACGGTGAGCAATCAATCCACCTTCGACTTTCCATTCTTTTTTTCTTCGTTCTTGCGTTCGTCGTTTTAACGGAGGTTTAATAATAGAACATCTAAATAAACAGGGGTGTGTAGGTAAAATTGTGTACTTTCGGTAGCGCGACGTGTATGAATTTGAAAGGTAGATCAAGTGAGTCATGTGGGTAAACCTAATCGAGCGTGTCGTCGTTCGAAGCACGTTTTCGAAATTAAAAAGTGGTTAGAGAGTACACCGGTGGACGGTGCCATAGTGGAAAGCGACGGGCAGGGGGCTGGATGATGAATTGGAGGCGAAACTGTCGACGCTAAAGTACGATTAAAAATTGAAATAAGGGAAGCGTGGTCTGGATGGGTGTGCAAGGTAAACAGCTGTGGAGTGTTTTCGGTGGGAGAAAGAGGTCGGTGGGGCAACGGAAGAATTTATCGCTCGGTACACCGAACGATCCTCCCCCTCGACTGCCCTCCTGGAACGAACTTTACATTCTCCGCGAAAGGGATCGCGGGGAACAATTACCGGGATGTCCAGTGGAAGTCACGTTAACCGTTCTGGCACGATTCTTTCCGGTGGTTCGGCGCGACCGTGGATAATTCGTATCGTAAAGCGTTTGGAGAAGTAGGCGGTGGTCTCTCGAATTGCTCGCAGTATTCGCTCCCGCCGGGCCGGAAAAGTTGAAGCTGCAGTTCGATTCGGTATTTACAGGGCGGCGGGAGGAGGGGAAGAGGAAGTTTCGACTTTGAAAATGGTCTGGCCGGGTGCCACGGGGCGAGAAATTACCGGAGAAGCGTCCCGATCATGAGCGTACACTCTACGCGGTGTGCACTAGCTTTAATCCACGCGGTGTAATTCCGAGATTAACCGTGGTGCGTGTGTACGTGGATTTCGCAGGCTCCGTGCTCGCTGAGATTATTCCGCGGCCCTTCCATATCTCTAATGACAAAGCAGTGCCGCGTCTCTCCCGACGAAATACGTCTCGCGGCACCGTCGATGGGAACTTTTAATCCGGATAAAAGACCGGCCTGCCTGCCCCTTGTCCGCCCAGCTCTATTTCTCTCTTCTCTCCCTCTTCTCTCCCCGTCTCTCTACCCTACCGCAGCTCTTTTTCGCGGATTGTTATTCTTAACTGCTTCATCGGGCGATTCTCGTAAATTGCCCCGTCGAACGACACGGCTAACCCTCCGTTCGAGGGAAAAAGCCGGATAAACGCGACAAAGCTTTATCTCGCGCTAGATCCAAAATTAATCCTTTAAATCGTGGGTTAGCTCGCGCGGGTAGCGAATATCTAACGTGTGTTACGTGGAAGAAAGTCGAAGGGCGTGGGAGAGAGTTACGGTTCCCCTGCGAATTTGCCGAAAGGTCGAATTTTTATTTCGGACGGCACCGCCACTGGCTGGCGAAGAATTATAGTTCGGCTAGCGAGGGATGACGCGAGGAGGACCCGAAAGACGGAAATTTTTTACGAGAACCATTCGACGTCTCGACCCTGGAGACGCGGCAACCCCCCGAAGGAACACCTTCGCCGCAAGAAGAACGAGGACGAGGAAGGGGTAAACGGGAGGAGACGCGTCAC